CCTTCAATCTTGGTGATTCTGTGGCTGGGACTATACAAACCACATCTCTGCTTTGCCAGCTATTCCCTGATGCTGTTAAGTGCCGTCTAGTCAGTTCTGACTCATAGAAATACTGTACAGGGTCTCCAAGGAGCAGCTGGTGGGTTTGAACTAACGACCTTATGGTTCACACACAGTTCAGTGCTGATCCTACAGCTGTTAAGCTCTACCAAAAGGGGGCTCCAGAAAGAAGGGAGAGGGGCTTCCTGTTCCTGTCAGTCTCCAATAGTATCAGCTGAATCCACTTTGCTATTTTGCCAACACTCAGAGAACCAGCTCTGTCACACCCATTCTAAGAAGTCACTACCCAAGAAATGCCTCCTCTTCAGAGGTCTGGGTCCCAGCCACTTGGGTCTTTCATGACACTCAGACCTCAACACCAGCTGACAATATCTCCCCTAAGAGGTGACCTTTATAAGACAGAGTAGAACTTCCCATAAGGTTTCCAAGGCTCTAATCTTTACAGAAGGCGCTCTGGTAGCGTAGTGGTTACGAATTGGGCTGCGAACCTCAAGGTCAGCAGTTCGAAACTACCAGCTGTCCTGCAGAAGAAAGATGCGGCTTTCTGCTCCCGTAAAGATTTACAGTCTTGGAAACCCTATGCAGAGTCGCTATGAGTCAGAACCGACTCGACGGCACACAACAACAACAACAAATCTTTACAGATGCGGACTGCCACAAATTTTCCTCAAGGAATACCTGGTGAGTTTGAACTGGCAGCCTTTTGGTTCCCAGCTAATGCATAGCCAGTGATCTACCATGGCTCCTCTATCAAAGTTTCTACATTTACTTAATTCCAGTGTCTTCCCTTTGTTCTCCCAGCCCTAAGGGTGGTTGCTCCTTCTTGAAATTGTAACTTCCCTAGTATATTTTGCCTTCCTGGTTCTTCAGTACTTACTTAATAATTTTTATATTAAATTATCTTAGCTAAAATAACTGGTTTGGTGTGTCCACCAAAGAAGCTACCACACAATTTTCTGCCCAGCTCAAGTGTGGCTAATATGTAAAGGTCAATGAGCGAATGTGGAGGCCAACACCTATCACGGGTTCTGCTTAGCTTCCTTCTACTCACTGCCAAGAAGAGGGCCCCATGCATTGGCTCAAAAGCCATTGAGAAAGACTATCTTGGCTGAGGAGCAAATCCATTCCAGAGTTTTGCCCTGACCAAGGGATGTTGCCCGATTTTGCCAGTGTGGCTGAAAAAGGCCTACAGTGAGGTCAAGGTATCCCTCCAAAAAGGTTTTTCACAATTACAGACTGATTAGATAGAGTAGCCTCAAATCTTTCCATACTGAATTTTTATTTTTAGGGTTTTAAAGGATAAACTAATGGCTTTAACCTGGGATGGCACTGTGGGCTAATGCTCTGGACTGCAAAGTCAGTTTGAACCATAAGGTCAGTGATTCAAGCTCACCAGTTCCTCCTTGGAAATCCTATACAGAGTTGCTATGGGTTGGAGCCACTTGACTTGACATTTAACAACAACAACTTAAAGGAGCATAAATCCAACTTATGAAATATATTTGGGTTTGTATTTGTTTCCTCTGTGTTGCCGGAGTGGGCATGGCCACTCTGCCAAGTAAGGGTCCCAAATTCTGGCTACTAATGGCCTACAGACAGCCCTCCCTCCTAGAACTGTCACCCTGGGTCTTGACCACTGTTTCTTCACACTGTGGTTCTATTTGGGGAGATGAGAACTAGAAGGGAGTCAGACAATGAATGTTTAAACCAGACTCCCAGAGAGCACCTGGGCCAGAATAACTCTGCTTCCATGGATGCATATGGACTAAAAGTGAGTTGAGTGGGAGAGAGAGAGAGAGAGGATGCCCACACAAAGCCCTGACGTTCTCAGGAACGTATATGTTCATGTTCTGAATTTGCTCTTTCATATGAAAACAGTTAGCTCCCACAGCCCAGATTAAGTTTTGGCGTCTGAAGCTGAACTGGAGGCCTGACTCGGCTCCCCCTTGGCTCTTTCTGAACTTCAGAGGTTTGCCAGGTCTCTGGGATCTGATAAGCTGGATCAGCAGAAATCCAAGGAGACATGAGGCAAAACCCAGTCTTTGTTCCCTCGCAGGCCATCCTGACTCTGATCCCCAGTTCTTCTGAGTGAATCACTCACTGAACTTCATCCAAGGAGGGGGACTTGACGTAGTCGATTTGGGTTGAAAGGAACTGAAGGAATCAGAGGATGAGACATGGGACCTGGGAGACCCATTTGTCTACCTTCTTTAATGAACAGTACCTCAGTAGGAAGATGGTAAGTACTAAGAGGAAATGAAAGAAAAAAAAAGAGGAAACAAAAGGGAGGCAGGAAGGAATGTAATCCACATCCCTGCTTTTTAGATATGAGACAAATGGATTCCAAAAAGATGAGGTGACTTTCCCTAGATGCTGCTGCTAGTTGGTGACAGATATAGGACTGAACTGTGGGTCTCCGGACTCCTAGAATGGCATTTTTCCTTCATAACATTGTGATGCAGTAGACTTTAACTGGAAGCTTGGTGTCAAGTGTTCCTTATAGAAAGACAAATCAAGGAGACTTAGAGAGAAAGAAAACATATATTAATGATGAGGTCAAAGAGAAAAGTGTGCCTGGGCCTACCAGTGATCATTGATTTGGCCCCTAACCCAAGTGGCTTCATTTTAATAGACTGTATCAGTCCAGTCCATCAACGCAGGCATGCATGCTCCTTCCCAGTTTCCAGCTCTGACTGGGGCCCATGGGGGCATCAGTGCCAGTATAGCTAAGTTGTTTCAACTCAAACTTGTGTGCGGCTCTGATGTAAGAAAAATGTACATTTCTAGCCTAGAACTTCCACTGAAAATTGATAGAAAAATACCACCTTCCTCCAGCCTTCCAGGCTCTCTGGTGCCCACTCCTTGCAGAGCCAAACAAGGAGTATTTGGTAAAGCAGAGATGTGGTTTACACAGTCCCAGCCCCAGAGTCACAGAGAAGCGAATAGAAGGGTAGGTTTGGAGGTAATAAGCAATAGGCAGGGAACTGGGTATCACCAAGGCACATGCTCTATGATCAAATGACCCATCAATGCATATTTACTATAGGGCCACCAGCAGCCACCATCATGCCTGGGGAAGACCAGACCCTCATAGAACTTTCACAGTGCAGACAGTGTAAAAGTAACCAGTAACCAGGTGGTGTCAAATTGACTCTGATTTATACAAATCCATGCATGTGAGAGTAGAATTATGTCCTGTAGGGCTTGCAATGCCTGGTTTTTCAGAAGTAAACCACTAGGTTTTTCTTCTGAACCATTTCTGGGTGAACTCTTACTTTTAATCTTTTGGTTGGTAACTGAGCACATGAGGAGCACCCAGGAACAAAAACTTGTGAGAAAATAGCAGTAGACTTATGATTTCACTGCATTTTTTTCCAGGCTGGTAAAGACCAAACTAAACCCACAGCCACTGAGTTGATTATGTCTCATAGTGACCTCTGGTAGCGTAGTGGTTACGAATCGGGCTGCGAGCCGCAGGTCGGCAGTTTGAAACTACCAGCGGTTCCGTGGGAGAAAGATGAGGCGTTCTGCTCCCATAAAGATTTACAGCATCAGAAACCCTTTGTAGGGTTGCTATGAGTCGGAACTGACTCCATGGCACATAACAACAACAACAACATAGTGACCTTATAGGACAGCCTAGGACTGCTCTTTAAGGGTTTCTGAGACTAAATCTTTACAGGAGGAGAGAGCCTGCCTCACCTTTCTCCCTCAGAGCGGCTGGTGGGTTTGAACCACAGCCCAACACATAACCCACTGCACCATCAGGGCACCTTGCAAAACTGGTAGAGAATCAGAAAATGATGTGAGAAGCGTTAGTTTAGAGAACGTGAGGGGATGTGACTGCTGTCTCAGATGAGAGGAAAAAGAGCATCCCTGTTCTCCGTACCCTACAGAACAGGTAGGTAGCAGGGAGGCACATTTGGGCTCGATCTAGGGAAAGCTATTGGAATTATGAGAGCTGTCCAGTAGGACAAGGCCCCTTCACTGTGTGGGAGTGTGCAATCACAGTGGCAGAGGAGCCTGGCACTAACCTGGCACTGACTTGGCAGAAAGTGTTCAGTGTGGGTGAGAATTACATTAGATGACCTTGAATTACCTTTCGACTCACTGTCTAGGAAAGGATTGCATTGCATGTAAGAGATGCTCAGTGAGTGTGATGGGCATCACCTCTTGCAGCCTTCATCTCGTCACCTGCTGGACAAAGATGAAGCATGCCTTCCCTAGGGAGCTGCTGGAGAGAAGAAGAAGGCAGCTCTGTACCTGAAGAAACTGAAAAACGGTAGGAGTGTAACCAATGAAAATCTAGGTGAAAGGCAAGTGGCAATCTGAATATACCTAAACCTGTTGCCATCAAATCAATTCTAATAGCGACCTTATAAGACAAAGTAGCCATTGTGAGGTTGGCACAGGACCAAGCAGTGGTTCGTTCTTTTGTACATAAGGTCACTGTGAGTTGGAACTGACTCAGCAGCACCAAACAACACTGGTAGGGACTTTTAAATAATAATTTGTTGTTAAGTGCCATCGAGTCAGTTCTGACTCATAGTGACCTTGAATGGGGTTTCCAAGAAGTAGCTGGTGGGTTTGAACCATCAACCTTGTGGTTAGCAGTCCACCGTTTATCCTACAATACCACACCATTGAACCCCTACAATATACCAGACAAGCATGCTCATAGTGTTTTTACTTCCTCTTAATGCATTGAGTCAGCTCTGACTTATAGTGGCTCCAACCCTAGAAGACGGTAATATATGTCTGTTTTGCAGATTAGAACCTGAGATTACACAGTCAGCAAGCCATGGAGGTTGAACCTGGGTCCCTGGCCATCAGACTTCAAAGCCTGGGCCCTAGACCACCATGCGGTCTTGGACCATCCTCTGAGGTGATCTACGGATGGTGTCAGATCTTCCAAGCACCTGTCTGTAAAGCTCTCTTACCTTGACCACATGGAGCTTGGGCAACAGATTACAGTCAGCCAGTGTCAGCTCATCCCCATCCAGGAACTTCCGGCGGGAACCTTTGTCATCATCCCCGTAGGCGTTGGCATCGATCTCCTCTGGTAAAGGGGTGTTCAGGTAGTCATCCAGTTTCTTCAGTGCCTTGGTCAGGCCTCTCTCAAGGGCTGGCATGGAAGAGCAAAAGATGTGTCTTTAGCCACCTTTCTTGCCACTGGATTTGGTCACATCGTCTTTAGAGTAGTTAGCTCATCCTGAATCCTTGTCATATTGCCAACCCCACGTTATACAATACCTGGCAGACATTAGCATACTGCAGTACAACTGGATTTAATAGCCTAAGAAAGAAAACTCTATCAGAACAGTAAGTATTATCTAGTTTTAAAAATAATAATATAGGAAGAAAACCTGTAAGACTGTATACCAAATAATTAATTGGCTTATATCCAGTAGGTGCCATACGAATGGCCAATTTATATCTTTTTGCTTTGCTTTATCAGTATTCTGCCAGCATTCCACTATAAATCCACACACTAATTTTGTAGAAAGGAATAATCTATTCTCATATTTTTTCTCACATGTATTTATTAAATAAGTAACAGATTTATGACATTTATTAGACAAATAAATAACTGCATGTTGTTAAGTGCTCTTGAATTGGTTCCGACGCTGTACACAGGGGCCCTACAACAAAGCTGTGCTCCAGACTTTGGGAGAGCTCTGGCAATGTTTGACTAACCCAGTCTGAGAAGGGGAGAAGGACAGGCACAGTTCATGGAGGACATGGCCTAGGGACAGAGTGTTCTTGTTGTGAATGGCCCAGAGAACCACTGGGAGGTGGGTGGTGGGCTTGGGCTTAATATGGGCAAGAGTAGTTTGAAATACAAGGGTCAGCAAATTAAGTCAGCCCAAACCCAACTGCCCTGGCATCCATTCTGAGCTGTAGTGTCCAGACAGTTTCCAAGGCTGTCAGTCTAGACAGAGTCAGTCTTACCTTTCTCTCATGGAGAGGCTGGTGTGCAGGAAGGGCTGACATTGTGGTTAGCAGTCCAGTGCTTATCCTACAGGGTCACTAGGGTACATTAGGTAGAGGACTGCTGACCCTCAGGGATAGGCAGTCACAATTGCAGTCAAACCTGCTTTAGATATAGCCCAAAGAATGAACACCTCGAGTAACAGAGCAGAAGACTTTTACCATCTTGCCCCAATATTTACTGATCAATAGATACAGAACAGAACAAAATCCACAAGAGAATAACTTCGAGACATCATTGGTGGTCAAAGTCATCATGCTCAGGATCTCACAGTTCATTCCAGTCTGCGAACATTAAGCAAGAAACTTTCCACCTGAGCTCAGGGGCCAGCCATGGAGGAGACAGCTGGCTGGACCATTCGCACCTGTGTCATTAGCCCCATTCCCAAGGGCTGGTTTTCTAGGATCTGGGATAGAGTGCGACACTGGAATAATGCAAGTCAGGCCGGATGCGGATTCCAGCAGATACAAGGGGGGATGGTGCCTTCTGCAGGAAGAGCTGAGAAAGCGGAACGCCTGTTCAGATTTTCCCAAATATGCCTTCTGTTAGCCATTCCTCACATAACCTTCTTTCCATAGAAGGGTTTTTGTTTTGAGACAATAAAATGGCACCAGCCCAAGATAAATCAATTACTGGGATGTTTGAAAACTGGTTGGAGATTGGACAGCGTTTCTCAATCCTTTCGTCTCCCTGGTGTAGCACTGAACTTGTGCTTCATCTGCTTTGCGTTTCCAGTTTGAGAGAATAGAGTGAGTAGGACTGGGAAACAATGCTGTATTCCCCTTAGTAATTGTCTAGACTACGATGGATAGCAAGCCTATTCAAGGGCAATGGAAGAGCTTGGGTACTAAACAATACTTACAATGTTCCATACCCTGAAGCACTTGTGATTTGAGTTTATTTGCTTCCTGGAGTCCCCTGCCCCTTTTCAGTTACGGAGGTTATGGTTTGATTGCTATTATGGAGAACGGAAAATTCAAATATGGTGCGTGTTCAAATTTGGCCAGCTAACATTATCCAAGGATAAGAGATCTATGTTAGGAAATGGCATTGTAAGTTCTAATTCTAAATGTCCTTGGAGGCCTGAGCAGGCTCTTGCATAGATCTGTGTCCCAGTCACCCACCTGCTGTGGGATGATCCTGAAATGTCATGATGATTGGATTGCAACTGAAAAGCTCCTTGGGTGGAGAATTCTGAGTAAAGTTGTAAAGTTCAGCTGTCTCTCTAGGATCCCTTGAGATGAAAGGATCGCATTTAGTAATGGGTATGGTTGTTGCTGTAGATCCTAACTGTAATGTACGATGCTACATACCAAGTCAGCATGTTCTGAGGATGTCCTTGCTATGTAAATTTCATCACTACACCTTGTGACTTTTTGATCACTAATGTGAACGTTGGAGCTGGTGATAATCAGGGCATAGAGAAGAGGAGATGAGACTGGTGAGTGGGTGTGGTCATGGGAAGGCAGTGTGGATGGATGCTTTGAAGGGAAAGGGCCTTTGTGCTTGAATCTTGACCCTGGCCAGGATGGACTTACTTTGTCACTGATGAGGCTTAAGCTTCAAGGTCCCAGGCTGGACGAGTGCCCTTCCAAGGCACTCTATATGATGGCTTTATTCCTTGTTTGTACTGGTTGTATTGACTTCAGAGCCCCCAAATCTTGAATAGATCCCTGATTCTGACACTTAATAGTTAAGTTCCTCAACTTAACTGAGCTTCATTTAGTTTTCTCATCACAACAATGGGGATAACAATATCTAACTAACAAGGAATCCCAAGGTGATACAAATGATTATGGTGTTTGGCTGCTAACCAAAAGGTTGGAGGTTCAAATTTACTAAGAGGAACCTTGGAAGAAAGGCCTGGTAATCTACTTGTAAAAAATCAGTCATTGAGAACCCTATGGAACACAATTCTACTCTGACACAAATAGGTCATGACTTGGAATCAACTTCATGGCAACTAGACTGGTTACCCCTCATAAGGCCTTCACTGTGAGGAGTGATATAAATCATGTAGGGAACATGCCTAATACAAAGTCTGTCCCATACTGGGACCACAATTATGCAGGTATTGTTACTGAACAGAGTGCTCTTCCCATTCGCCATCCCTCACCCCATACTCAGTCAGTCGATTCCTAAAAATCCCAAGGGGGAGAAACAAAATGAGAAAGTGTAATAAGTACCAATGCTGAGGACCCTAGAGGGAAAATGAACACTGGAGCTTGTCTTGTCTTAATTCTTTAATGTATAGCCACAGCCCTATCCCTATGCTCCCTTGGGATACTGCTTGGTGGTAAGTTCTGTTAGAGGCACAGCCAGAAGGAAACCAGGGCTACATGCCGGTGTACCCAAGCACTGCCACATTACCAGATCACAGATACCAATACCAGTGTATTCTCTGCCAGTTTGTTTCCCTTCTACCTGCCAACTCATTCCTTTGGCCTTGGCTCAATCTGGCATCCACAAAATTTAATTATCTCTTTCAGCTAAGGACACCTAGGTCATGAAACAGTTCCTGCTGCAGTTTCTGCTCTGGTAAGAGTGAGGGAAGATGTGAAAGAAACCAAAGTGACTAAAAGATGATGAAAATATCCAAACAAAACTCCCCAGATTCCTTCAGTCTTGGCATCAGAAAGCCTCCCTCCAAAAGACTTACTCTGAAGAGTAAGACCCGGTCACCTTCAGGCCACAGCAAGGGAGCCTGGGGCAGGGGCACTCCAGAATGGCTCACATCCCAGGGATTTGATGGCTACCCAGGCCTTTAACTGCTTCCACCCGCCCCTTCCTCCCTCCCTCCCCGTGAAGATTTATTCTGTACCACACACAAATGCACTGGGTAAAATATGTGATGAGGAAACAAGGGGAGTAGTTCATAAATATTCTCAGCCATATGCAAACAATCTCAAATTTATTTTTCTCTTTTTAAAAGAGGGGGAAAAATCCACCCATTCCTTGATCACTTCCAGATTCATTGAGGTTGATATTACATAAGACCCAATATTGTTTTCTCATCGTAGAGAAATAATGACTTGGAAACGGCAATTTGAGCTAAGAAAATAATATACTCTTACCCGGCTGGGTATGGAGTCTGAATGGGGACCCAGGAGCCAAGACTTCAACTTAGCCTCCAACAAGCTCTTGCAAGCACAGCTTGGCTCTGGCTTGCTCGCATGCCTGAATATTGCTTGCAGGGATTGTCGTTGTTGTTGTTATGTGCCATCAAGTTGGTTCTGACCCATGGCAACCCTGTATAGGGTTTCTGAAGAGTGGCTGATGAGCTTGAACCACTGACTTTGCAGTTCAAGCCGACCTCATGGTCCAGCACATTAACCCAAAGCGCCACACCAGGACTCCCACTTGCAGGGATACTAAGGAACAAATGGCTGTGCACTTGCCCAAGGCCCAACCTCTACTTGGAATGGAGCAGGGTCAAAGGGGTCTTTGAAAGGACTAAGTTAGCACTGTGGGTTGCTGAACTCTTGAGTTTCTCATGCATGGTTTTTCTCTGGCATACGAAGTTTTAGAGAGAAAAGGACTACAAGTCTACCTCTGACCAATGTCTGCATCCTGGATGTGTGGTTTGTGGCTACTGAGTTGGCCAAGTATTCTTGGCCCCCCTGTGTTCCTTTCATTGCCTTGTTCATTCCTCAGTACCACCAAGGAAATACACTCACCCAATGGAGGGAGACCTGGTGTGGTGCTGTGGGGTTAATGCGCTGGACTGCAATGTCACTTTGAACTGCAAGATTAGCAGTTCAAGCTCACCAGCCGCTCCTTGGGAACCCTAGACAGGGTTGCTATTGGTCGGAACCGACTCAACAGCACAAAAACAACAATAATTTCTAAAATGGGCTGGATGTTTATGCCACCCTTCATTCCATGTATAATGAAACTTGTGAGATGGGCATTATGACTTATCTTCATTTCACAGGTAAAGAAATTGAGTCTCAGTCTTAACCAAGGCACACGCGTATGCAAACACACACATGCACACACACACACAGAGCTGGCCCTTGGACCATTCAAAAGCCCCTGGGATATACCATGAAAATGTGTCTTGTTTTGTTTCTAACCACTATGGTCTTCCATAGGAGCTTCTAACCTCTGAGGGAATACAACAGCAACTTTAA